GGGGGCTGCGTGAGGACCCAGTGGGGCTGCTGAAATTCACTACAATCCAGAGTCCCAAGAAGCCCCGTGCGCGGCAGGGCCGACGGAGACCTGGAGCCCCAGCTGAGCGTCAGAACCGCGCTGAGCGCCTCTGAGCAAAGACAGAAATCAGTCGCCCTGGCTCCACGAGGGGCCTCCTCAAGCGCCGCTCGGAACACGCCGTGGAGGTAGGTCTTGGCGCCGTTCTCAGCCACCGCGTAAATATGCACGTTCCAGTCGCCAGCTATGACATACGGCTTCCCCTGTGAGCGCACGCACACAGCCACCTCTGCCAGGGCGATCGCGCTCTCTCCTTGGAGGCCGAGCCCCGTGGCCAGGCACAGAGAAACGCAGACCACATCAACGTCTCGCACTCACGCCGTCTGGCTGGTCCACTGGGTCTCCTCAACGGCAACCCTCTCTCCCAGAACATCACGTTGAACTTCTGGGCACAAGGGGGAATGCTGCGGCCACTTCCTGGTCACGAGCCAAACTCCACCACGGGGCCCGCCGCGCGCCGCGCCAACTGCACCCTGGGCAGTGACTGGCCAGCCTGAGCGGTTCAGCAGCTCGGTCGCCTGAGTGCGCTGGGGGCCATACAAGTGGCGCCCCGCGATCACGACGGCGTCGGAGACCGCGAAACCTGCGTCAGCTCGGTTCAGGTAGCCCCAAGCTTTCTGACCCCATGATGCGGCGTTGGCGAAGTAGAACCGATACTGGTCCTTGCCCGCGGTCTGCACCCCCATGGCTTTGGCCACCACCGACATCGTCACCGACGGACCTGAAGCCCTCGTCGTCGATCCCCGCTCTGCACGCGGGGCCCCGCTGGCGCGATCTGGGCGCCCGGCCCTGCGCTCCTCCAGGGGCGCGGCTGGAGGAGCTTCACACAAGGGGTCTCTCGCGCGTGAATCTCGGGGCTGCCGCCGAAATCGACGAAGCCGATCTCCGCTATTCACGCAAGACCCCGCCGGCGCGATCTGGGCCCAGGGCCCCGCGCTCCTCCAGGGGCGCAGCGCGAGGAGCTCAACCCAAGGGTCTCTCACGTGCGAGTCTCGGAGCAGCCGCCGAAATCGAAGAGGTCGATCTCCGCTCTGCACGCAAGGCTCCGCTGGCGCGATCTGGGCCCGGGGCCCCGCGCCCCTCCAAGGGCGCGGCTGGAGGAGCTCCACGCGGGGATCTCTCGCGCGCGAGTCTCGGAGCGCCAGCTGCCCGCGAAGCCTCCGCGCCCACCCCCCGCGAGCTCGGCACCTCCCTGGACCGAAACTGCCGCGCTTGCTCGCACCGCCGACTGCCCATCAGGCCCCGCGGCGCCCCTGCGATTGAGACTGGCCCCCTCGGGCCGAAGCGGCAGTCCAAGGGGCGGTGGATGGCAAATCGTCGCCACCCTCTGATTGGGCCCTTCCGCCTGAGCCGCCGCCTGCACAGGAGACTCGGCCGCGGGAGCTGCCGCGGCAGCCTCCGCAGCTCCGTCTCCCCCTGGCGGTGGGCTTTCAGCAGCGGGCCTGGCCTCGGCGCCCCCAAACTACCCCCTGCGCTTGCCCGCCAGCCTCTGCGCCATCTGTTCCTGCTCCAAATTGAAATCCTTCGCCTCCTCGGCAGCCTGACCGAACATGGCCTTGACCGCTGCTGCCAGATCTGTCTGCAACCTGGTGGTGCGTTCCGCCAGCTCCTTCTTATCCTTCCTATCCATGTCGTATTCAACATCGTCGAAACCGAGCCCAGCAAGTGACAGCGGGACCTCCGCAATCGAGCCGCCCAAGATGCCAGCGACACTGACGGCCTGGGATTGCGGGGCCTCCTGGGAGACCTCCACCACATGCGCGTCGAGCTCCACCACCAGCTTGCGATGCTCGCCCTCGGACGCCCCCAGGTCACGCGCGAGCTGCTGCACCCACTGGCGCTGCTGCTCCAGGCCCTCCGCAAGTCTCTCAAAGTGCCCAACAGCCTTCTCCAACTCTTGACCGAGTTCCTGCACATGCCTGTGGGCCATCGTGACCCTATGGGACAAGGGCGCCACGTACGCGGCCCCCGCAACATTCCTTCGCTTCTCCTGCACAGCCCGCTTGTGTTTAGCTGCGCTGGTGGTGTCGCCTGCCTCCTCCAGCATCGCCACCAGCTGCTCCAGCTCTGCAACAGCCATGTCCGCGTCGTCTGGCCTGGCCACGAGGAACTGAGCACCTGGCGCCACGGGAAGAGCAGGCCTTCCCGCACCTGCAGCATCATCTCCTTTGCCCTTGCCACTTTGTCCCTTCTTACGTTTGCCTTTCGTGCCGCCGCCTCGCCGCCGTCAGTAGCTGGCTGCTGCCGTCTGTCATCACCATCAGCCCAGACTCCTCGAGGCTCAGGCGCGGCGGCTGGGGCAACATCAGAAAGCTGCTGCCCACACTCTGCAAAAGATACTCCCACGCACATTCTTGTTGCACCCACACTTCGCACATGCTGGTGCCTTCCCCACTTCTCTTCAACCCTCGTAATCGCCAGGACCAAATCTCTCGTCATTCTCTCCACTGTCCACCCCAGGGTGGGGGCACTGTCTTCCGTCACGGTGGCTTCGCAGCAACGGCAGCAGGAGGAACCCTGAGACGAGAGCCAGGAAGCAGATCCTGGACAAACTCAAAAAGTACGTCGTCCCTCCTCATGGGAGGTGTTCCAACAGCCTCCGCCTCCTTTTCCTCCTCCTCCTCCTGCTCCTCCTCCTCCTCCTGTTCCTCCTCCTCCTCCTCCTCCTCCTCCTCCTCCTCCTCCTCCTCCTCCTGTTCCTCCTCATCCCCATCCTCATCCTCATCATCTGCCTCCTCCTCCTCCTCCTCCTCCTCCTCCTCATGCCCCTCCTCCTCCTCCTCCTCGTCCTCCTCCTCCTCCTCATCATCATCCCCATCCTCATCCTCATCCTCATCATCATCATCATCATCATCATCATCATCATCATCATCATCATCATCATCAGCATCATCATCATCATCATCAGCATCATCATCATCATCAGCATCATCATCAGCATCATCAGCATCATCAGCAGCAACAGCATCATCATAATCATCATCAACATCATCAGCCTCATTATCATCATCATCATCATCATCATCATCATCATCATCATCATCCTCATCAAGAATATTCATCATCATCATCATCAGCATCATCATCATCATCATCATCATCATCATCATCATCATCATCGCCATCATCATCATCGTCATCATCATCATCGTAATCATCATCATCATCATGAGCATCATCATTATCATAATCATCATCAACATCATCATCACCATTATCATCATCATCATCAGCAGCATCATCATTATCATAATCATCAGCATCAGCAGCAGCATTACCATCATCGTCAGCATCATCAGCAGCATCATCAGCATAATTAGCATCATCAGAATCGCCATCATCATCTGCACCGTCAGCAGCATACTCATAAACATAATCTTCATAATGATAAGAATCATCATCAGCAGCATCACCATCAGCTTTATCAAAATCGTTACAAACATCATGAGCAGCATCGTCATCATCATCAGCATCAGCATCATCATCATCGCCGTCAGCAGCACCTTCATCATCATCATCATCGTCATCACCATCATCAGCAGTATCATCATCAGCAGCATCGTCATCATCATCATCATCATCATCATCAGCATCATCATCAGCATCATCATCATCATCAAGAATCATCATCATCATCAGCATCAGCATCATCATCATCATCATCATCATCATCATCATCATCATCATCATCATCATCATCATCATCGCCATCATCATCATCGTCATCATCATCGTAATCATCATCATCATGAGCATCATCATTATCATAATCATCATCAACATCATCATCACCATTATCATCATCATCAGCAGCATCATCATTATCATAATCATCATCAGCATCATCCTCATCCTCAGTATCAACATCATCAGCATCATCAGCTGCAGTCTCATCAGCAGCAGCAGCATAATCATCATCATCTTCAGCAGCAGCAGGATAATCATCATCATCATCACCAGCATCAGAATCGCCATCATCATCATCATCATCATCATCATCACCATCATCATCATCATCATCATCATCATCATCATCGTCATCATCATCATCATCATCATCATCTTCAGCATCATCATCATCAGCAGCATCATGATCAGCAGCAGCATCATCATCAGCATCAGCGTCATCATCATCATCATCATCATCATCATCAACATCGTCATCATCATCATCATCAGCATCATCAGCATCGTCATCATCATCAGCAGCATCAGCATAATCATATCATCATCATCATCATCATCATCATCATCATCATCATCATCATCATCAGCATCATCATCAGCATCGTCATTATCGTCATCAGCATCATCAGCAGGAGCATGATCTCCACCAACATCATCATCATCATCATCAGAAGCATCATCATCAGCAGCATCATCACCACCACCATCATCATCAACAGCAGCATTACCATCATCGTCAGCATCATCAGCAGCATCATCAGCATAATTAGCATCATCAGAATCGCCATCATCATCTGCACCGTCAGCAGCATACTCATAAACATAATCTTCATAATGATAAGAATCATCATCAGCAGCATCACCATCAGCTTTATCAAAATCGTTACAAACATCATGAGCAGCATCGTCATCATCATCAGCATCAGCATCATCATCATCGCCGTCAGCAGCACCTTCATCATCATCATCGTCATCACCATCATCAGCAGTATCATCATCAGCAGCATCGTCATCATCATCATCAGCAGCATCATCGTCGCCATCATCAGCATCATCATCATCATCACCATCATCAATCATCATCGTCATCAGCTTCATCATCATCATCAGCATCGCCATCATCATCATCATCATCATCATCATCATCATCATCATCATCATGATCATCATCATCATTCAGCATCATCATCATTCTTGCCCTGCTGGCTTGCTTCAATGCTTCATCCCACCGATGCCTATCTGGTTGCCCCCGAAGAAGCCAGTCGGGTTCGGACCCTCGCAGCCCACAATAACCGTGCGGTATTTCGACACGCTCTGGCCGAGGCTGTCGATGCAGGCGAAGTGCATGACGTATTCGCCGGCAGTCTCGGAAAAGGAAGCGGAAAGGCACGAGGGCTGGGAAAGGGGAAGCAACATGCAGCTAGCAAATTATCTTGGCGAAAGGCCCAACCATATGCAGCTGTGGGCACCGCAATTCTGAATATTTTCTTCGGTGAAGCTCCCTATGGGGCCACGAAGCGCTGCAGTGGGTGGGCGGTAGCACTGGGGCTGTAGGTGGAGCTCCCTATGGGGCCACGAAACGCTGTACTGTGTGGGGGAGACGCGTGCGGGCGGTAGCACCGGGGCCATCGGTGAAGCTCCCTACGGGGCCACGAAGCGCTGCACTGGGTGTGGGAGACGCATGCGGGCGGTAGCACTGGGGCCGTCGGTGGAGCTCCCCATGGGGCCACGTGTGTGTGTGCGTGTGTGTGTGTCTGTGTGTGTGTCTGTGTCTGTGTCTGTGTCTGTGTCTGTGTGTGTGTCTGTGTGTCTGTGTGTGTCTGTGTGTGTGTCTGTGTGTGTGTCTGTGTGTGTGTCTGCGTCTGTGCCTGTGTGTGTCTGTGTGTGTCTGTGTGTGTTCAGTGTGTGTGTGTGTGTCTGTGTGTGTCTGTGTGTCTGTGTGTGTCTGTGTGTGTCTGTGTGTGTCTGTGTGTGTCTGTGTGTGTGTCTGTGTGTGTGTCTGTGTGTGTGTGTCTGTGTGTGTCTGTTGTGTCTGTGTGTGCCTGTGTGTGTGTCTGTGTGTGTCTGCGTGTGTGTCTGTGTGTGTCTCTCTGTGTGTGTGTCTGTGTGTGTCTCTGCGTGTGTCTCTGTGTGTGTCTCTGTGTCTGTGTTTGTGTCTGTGTCTGTATCTGTATATGTGTCTGTGTCTGTGTCTGTGTCTGTGTCTGTGTCTGTGTCTGTGTCTGTGTCTGTGTCTGTGTCTGTGTCTGTGTCTGTGTTTGTGTCTGTGTCTGTGTATGTGTCTGTGTCTGTGCCTGTGCCTGTGTCTGTGTCTGTGTCTGTGTCTGTGTCTGTGCCTGTGCCTGTGTCTG